CCCTGCCCCCCCCACCAGCTCTGCCGGTGCCCCTCACTCCCGACCCGCAGCCCCCCCGGTTTACCCTGTCCCCGCAGGACGCCCGCCCCTACCCGTTCCTGCACACCCAGGACGACACCTACGAGAACCTGAACGGGATGCTCTTCGGGCGCCTGCCGGCCGTGGCTAAGTCCGTGGCCGAGGTCGTGGGGCAGCTGCTGATCCGCCTGACCCACGACCACCTGGTGCCGCTGGACTTCGGCGCCTACGGAGACGTCCTGCTGCAGCGGATTGCGGAGTTCAACCCCTACAGCAGCGAGCTCAAGGTAGGGGGTTGGGGGCAGGGATCCAGCCCCACAGCTGCCCCCAGGGGGATCCGGGGCTCGACTGATCTCCCCGGCTCTGGGAGGGCAGTGGGGGCTGGTGGGTCAGAGCAGGGGAGGCTGGGAGCCAGGACTCCTGGGTTCTCTCCCCGGCTCTGGGAGGGAAGTGGGGGTTGGTGGGTTGGAGCAGGGGGGGCTGGGAGCCAGGACTCCTGGGTTCTCTCCCCGGCTCTGGGAGGAGAGTGGGGGCTGGTGGGTAGAGCGGGGGGGGGCTGGGAGCCTGGACTCCTGGGGTCTCTCCCCAGCCCTGGGAGGAGAGTGGGGGCACAGATCCGGGAGCGTGGAAGTTGGGGGGTTGGAAGGCCCCATGGAGGGACAGGGGCTGGGTTGCATTCCTCCCCCCCATTGATCCCTGTCCCCCCCCCGCCCCACAGAGTCGCGGCCTGACCCTGCAGTGGCTGTACTCGGCCCGGGGCGACTACACGCGGGCAGCCGAGAAGCTGCGCCAGGACATCTACAGCTCGGAGGAGAAGAACGAACGGCTCAACCGCATGCACAACGTCCGCATCATGAGGGTGAGCCTGGGGGGGCTGGGGGATTCTGCATTGTCCCGCAGCTCCCCTCCCCCCCTGCATGCACCTCCCCAGCCTCGCTGCCTGCCGTTAGCCGGGAACATGCGCCTTTGAACTGCGCGGACACATGCAATTACCTGTTGCATGCATCGGCGCATGCATCGGACCTGGCCCGTGTCGGCGCATGCATCGGATCTGGCCCGTGTCAGCGCATCCATCGGACCTGGCCC